AGGAACCAGTGTTAAGAATAAAAATGGCATTACTTGCTCATGAGTTCTTCTGTTCGAGTCCTATTTTTGAGGCTAAAAGGTGCTAACTGGTACACGTCGTGGTTTTCTGCTAACTGAATAGTTGTGCTCACCTCTTAATCAAGTAATGCCTTCCTGAAACTGTGTTCTCTGCATGCAGTTTGCTTTACTCATAAAATCTGTTGTTATAGCGTATAATCCAGGGCTGCGCACAAGTAGGGGTTTTCAGGCTTCGGTCTCCTCTCTGTTGGAGAAGCAGAGATCTTGAGGTGAAAACTTGCTGCTACCAGTTCTGTGATTTTGAGAGGATGTGAGATGAGTTGGGATCTTGTCATTAACACCTTATTCCTCATCACCGTGGATGGATCTTGGAGGAGTTTTGGAACAGTTGGTTTGTTCAGAGCCTACTTCAATGAAGCCTGTTCCAACAGTGGCCAGAGATGCTGCTGCAAAATTAATGGTCGTGGCAAAAAGCTGACTTGCACGTATTTTGCTCAAGCAGTCGGTTGCTTTATTGTGTACTGGCACTACAGGGCCAAGTTGTCCTTTTAACATATTTAGTTAGCCTTTCCTAACGCTTTTAAGAAGCTTCTTGTAGTAATCTAGGAATAAAAACAGGACAGGTTATTCTACAAGAGAAGGCTCGTTATATAAATTAGTGGCTCCTTCCTCTGAACTCAAGAGCATACCCTCCTGTAAATTCTTAAATGCTTTATCCAGCTTTAAATGATCCCTAAGCCTGCTCTGGTTCAGGAGTGGAGATGTTATCCCATGGCCTGGTAGACTCCTTCCACTACAGTGGGAGAACACTTGAGTTTTATTTGCAGACATCAAATTTCACCTGGACTAGTCTTTGGGACCTCATTGAAAGAATATAGTTAATCTTTGTTATTTCTGGGAACGAAATGAGCCTTCTGTTTCTTGGGTGCAGTGCATCGGGCAGGTCATGCTGGGTGAGAAGTAGCATGTACCTTGCGCTGATTTTTTTTTTTTTTTGAATATTGCATGTGCTTGATTTGAAGTTACTGGGTATCAGTAGCTGTGAAAGTGATGTGTGCAGCTCGTAAAGGTTTTGAAACATATTTAAAAAACCCTTAAGTTCAAACATTCAAGCCATGCCTTTGAAGATGTAGGAGCAAACTCTTACTGATGGTAGCTTTAGATTGCTAACTCTTGAACAGTCCTTAAGTCAAGTAAGAAGTGGGTTTCCATCATACGTGCTGTTCCCAAAATAAACTTGGCTGGATTTCTTTAAATGTGAAACAAAAAAAAAAGGGGGGGGGGGCTGAGTGTTAGATGTTTGACGCTTTTCCTTGTGCTAAGATGTTCTAGTTAACTTCTTGCATTGCTGAAGTCTGTCACTTGGAACTGTCAGCCCCTCTTACAGTTTCTGCTCCGTTATCTCTGAAGAGGAGGTTACCGGCCTCCTGTTCACCTGACTCTTCACAGTCTCCTTTCACTGTTCATGTGTAATTACTTTTAATGAGACTCAGAAGCTGAGTCTGACTGGGACATATATTTTTTAGCTTTCCATTACATTACTCACTTGGGTGAACAGAAGTTAAAGTTATTTTTAATGCTTGCCATCCCACCTTCTCTAAGTGAATTGATTCGCTTGTTTTCAAACACCATAGTGTTGGGTGGAAACTATTCAAATCTCTTTTTGTACTCTCTCATGGTATTTACTAGTCCTATGCTATTTCCTAATGGGCGGTGATGTAGATTTCATAGCAGTATTTCTTCTGAGTTGTTAAAAGCCAATTCAAAGGATAACCATTAAGTACTCTAGCAAAGAAATGTGAAGCGTTGCATGTGAAATGCAACGGCCAAGATGAAATGGGTTGTATGTGAAGAAGGGTGAAGTGCAGGGGAGATGCTGCTGAGGAGATCAATATTCAAGCCGAAAATAGGTTAATCGTTTGGGGAAGAGAATAAAACATTAGGAGCTTGTTTTAGAACACAATATATAAGCAACTATAACGCAAGAAGATTTTAAAATACAGCAAAACAAGAAATGCTGAAGTTGATAGTAAAATATTGAATAGTAAGTATATTTATATCCTTATATCTATATACTGATAGATACTTAAGATTTCACAGAATTCACAGAATTCACAGAATTGTTAGGGTTGGAAGGGCCCTCTGGAGATCATCTAGTCCAACCCTCCTGCCAGAGCAGGGTCACCTACAGCACGTTACACAGGACAGCGTCCAGGCGGGTTTTGAATGTCTCCAGCGTGGGAGACTCCACCACCTCTCTGGGCAGCCTGTTCCAGTGCTCCACTACCCTCAAAGTAAAGAAGTTCCTTCTCATGTTAAGATGGAACTTCCTATGTTCAAGTTTATGCCCATTACCCCTCGTCCTATCACTGGGTGCCACTGAAAAAAGACTACTCCCATCCCCCTGGCATCCTCCCATTAAGTATTTGTATGTATTAATAAGATCCCCCCTCAATCTTCTTTTCTCTAGACTAAAGAGACCCAAGTCCCTCAGCCTTTCCTCATAAGAAAGGTGCTCCAGTCCCCTAATCATCTTTGTTGCCCTTTGCTGGACCCTCTCGAGCAGTTCCCTGTCTTTCTTGAACTGGGGAGCCCAGAACTGGACACAGTACTCCAGATGCGGTCTCACCAGGGCAGAGTAGAGGGGGAGGATGACCTCCCTCGACCTGCTGGCCACATTTATACTCACTTAAGTGGAATACTTTAGAAAGGAGATCTGGCTAGAGAACCAAGCGCTGTGAAGCACTAAGAGCTAGATGGTTCAGTATTAATGTCAGTAAACCATGCCTGCGGTGTCTTCAAAGGCACGTGGTTTCAGAGAATTGCTGGTGTGGTGCCCAAGCGGGGTTGTGATGCCAGGAGGGAAGGAAGACGACCTCAGGTGGCCATTGCACACATGAAAACTGTGGACACAGTTAATGTTGGGGGGCTCTGTTTATCAAATGGGAGAATCTCCACTTTGATGTGGTATGGCTAGTGGCATGGTAGGAGTTTAAGGTCACATTTTTATAAGTTTGCTTTTAAATTCTTAATTTTAAAGGCAAAACCTCACACCCCCCCCTCCCCTAACAGTAAGTACCCTCACCATCCCGGTTAACTTGCTGCTACGTGTGGATCAGCAATCTAGAAATGCTTCTGAGCAAACTCTACTGCTTTGCTCCCTCCTGTACTGCTGTTGCTGTTCCCGTGTGACAGATGGGGACTGTTGGATCAATATAAGGCACTTTCTGCACCAGCTAAACCATGGACACCATGAGGCTTGAGCCCGGATAGCTGTGGATAGTGTTGATAGCCCGGATAGTGTTGAATAAACCTTCCCAGGTTTATCGCAGTGCACTCGCACATCTAGCAGTGGGTCAGGATACCGCCGATAATGTTAGACGTGTGCTAAGCGCAGAGACAACCTTCAGTTAAGTTATTATTCCAAGCACTATGAAATCCACAGTACCCAGACTTGAGAGCAAAGAGATTTGGAAAATAACAAGAAATGATGGAAAAAAAAGGTTTTAGTTTAGCCTCCTGGTTGTGTTCTGCAGGCATCACAGCAAGTTTGGAGGACAGCAAAATGTCTTTGCATGTATTTGTGTGAAGCCCTCTCAAATACGTGGGATAGCATGTAAGAAGGCAATGAAGGAGCATGCTGAATTTTCAGATAGCACTGAGAGCTAAGCGTAGGTGGGGATCAATACAGCTGGGCTGATTAAGAAATTGGTAGATTGAGAAAAGATGTTGAAGGCCAAGCTTCTCTGTGAAGGAGCAAAGAAGACAGAGAGAGGGTAGAGATCAGGGCAGTAAAGGGATCTTTGCATCAGCTTCTGAACAAATGTGAGCAGGGTGTTGAGCACCACCGCATCCTTTTCTCTGCTGGGAGGACAGAAGATGGAGGTAGATGTAATCATGCAGATTTCATCTTTTCTGCTAAATCTACAGTCTAGTTGAGGTAGAAGAAAATGGAGATACGGCATTGTAGTCATGATAAAAGTTGATGACAGGATAGGAGAAATGTTATGTGGGCCAAAATGAGTATTTGAACAGAAGGCAGAATGTTAACCATCAGTACTAAAAAAACCTTGAGAGCTTTTTGAGTTGGTAGGAAAACTTACTTGGAAGAACCAAGGGAATGTTCTTATTTCTGTTAAAGAAAGCCTCAAACAGGCTAGCGTCAGCTTTATTCTTCATCCAGCAAGTGCTCTGTTGGGTAGGTTTTCTCTGTAGGAAGGTCAGGGGTGGGTTGGGTAAGTCAGAGGTGTCTGGAAATGTTACTAATGAGAAGCTGTAGAAAATACTAGTGTGAACTGTTCCTCAAAGCAGAAGTGTAACGAAAGAGTGCACTTCAAGAGACTGTCCTCATTAAGAATCATGTGGAATTCCCTCAGGAAATCTCTTTCAAACAGCTGTTTGTATCACTTCTGTCTCCGGTTAAACATGAGAGATCACACACGCACCCCAAACTTGTGTGGTAGACTCGGTATCAAATTGTCGTATAACTTCCTGCCATCTGCAAATCCAGAAATTTCTTGGAAAGCTCTGAATCAGATACTTTCCAGGAAAACTTCTACCTCTCTAGCTAATGGACTGGTTTTGGGTTTTGTTGTTGGGTTTGGTTTTTTTTTCCCTTTAAATTTAATCTTTATCTGGCTCTACTTCTTGATAGTTGAACTAAACATACTAAATGAAGCTATATGCCATTTATACAAAAAGCTAGTGTGAAGGAAAACAACTGTTCATGTTCTCTCAAGGCCGTACTGGAATTTTCTAAATGCACTTGTGGTTTTCTGTGATCTGGACGTTCTTCCAGGCAATTCAGCTTTAACTGATGTGGGTTTATATGTATGTTTTTAAAATTCTTTCGGGCAAAACCAAAATATGGAAAACACAAAGTATTGTACCTGCTGTATCAGATAGGCCTGCAGGTTTGTGTAATTGATGGATTTGAGTCTTTCCTCTTACATTTAATTTTATCTTTGTTTTTACAGGAGATAATGAAAAAAGTGTGCCACAACTCTTGATCAGAGACCTGAAATTTGAGAAGAAGTCACTAGCTAAGCTCATGTTTTCTCCTGATCAAGAAAATCATCCATCAAAAGCACCAGTAAAATATGGTGAATTGATTGTATTAGGGTAAGTGTTTGTGTCTTGGTTGGAAATGAGAAGGAAGGTAGAATTCCAGGGTGCGCTTAAAGCAGATAAAATGCAGGTTGCTGTGGGAGGTGGTCCCACAACCTCTCACTTGGACTCCTTTTTTCGCAGTGTATCTGGTGATTGTGCAGCTGAATGGTCAGCTTTTCTTTGGTAGCTGATCTCGTCTCGGAGAGGTAGCGGAGGGTGGGCTGCCTTTCTCAGTGGCAACTAGGCGTTACACGTAATGGGATATATTGGAGAATTGCACCGCAGTACGCGTAGCTTTTTGTGGCAGCGTGATCATGGAGGTGTAGGGCTCCAAACAGTTGAGTAGATGTAAGTTTGGGTTTCACTCTCGTGTTCAACCCAGGTAAGCGTTTCATGACAAAGGCAGCCAATTTGTGAAAGCTTTCCAAATAGATTCCAGGTTGTACCTAGTCAGATGACTAACGTGATAATGTGGAAGGAGAGGTTCCCCAAGACTTCGAGTAAAGTGAAAGGCATTTTATAAGAACACGGTCGATGACTGTGTAATACCCAAGTGCAAACAGGAGGTTTTAATAAAGCGAGTTTGCTGGCTGGCCTGTTTATGTTGACATGATCAAAATGAGGGTCTGAGGGTTTTCTACTAGATTAAATTGGAGTCTCGGAGGACGGCATGTCTATTTCTACGGGGTTTTATTTCAACTAAAATTCTCTAAAATACTAGCTGTCCATCATTGTGGGTGAGCATTCGGAATCTTTCATTTACAGTGTGAACACATCATTTAGAGATACAGCTACAGATAGGCATATAACACTACTTGTTTTCATGTTTGGGACCCAAATCTCTTTTGCTAGTTGACGGTAGCTTTGAGATTAATCTGGGTAGCGTTCCTTGCCCTACAAGCCGTGCATGTATATGCTGTGATTCTGCGGGCATGTTTCAATGTTGTGTTTATCAATTCTCAGATTTAAATAGATGTGATTAATTGCAAATCTGTAATGATTAATACTGTACTAATTAAGAAGACTTTGTGCTTAGAATGGAAGTTCTTGTGGGTATGTATCTCATAAGAAGCTAAGTAATACAGGAAGATGGACTTTGATCTAGAACATTTTCTGTGGGTCTTTTTTTTTGATAGGTACAATGGGTCTCTCCCAAATGGAGATAGAGGAAGAAGAAAAAGTAGGTTTGCTTTATTTAAAAGGCCCAAGGCAAATGGGGTGAAACCCAGCACTGTGCATATTGCCTGTACCCCTCAAGCAGCAAAGGTAAGCTCGATTTCGCTAGTTAAGTCTTATTTCTCCTGGTGCTGTCTGAAGAGTTCAGTGAAGTCAGTGCTGTTACGCTGAGATGAAGTGCTGTATAAAGTATTGAGTTCTGGCTGTGAAAAGAATGGTTCATGGTTCATGTTTATCCATGGTTTTTTGGTACCTGTCAGGGTTAGCAAGAAACTGTTCAGCAAAACAAATCTGCTGCCCAGTCCTTGTAGTGTCCAGAAAGAAAAATATTTATTTTTGAAACATGAATGTTCAGGGCACAGGCTAGTCATGTAAAAACACTTTCTGTTTTGTTTTCCTTCCAAACTCGCTACAGACATCTGTTCTAGCCTTCCTGTTTTCGCACTCGTTCATGCTTTAGGGCTAACTTTGCTTCACGTGAAGCTGACTTTTAAATGGTCCTTTGCCAAAGCTCTATGTGCACTTGCTACTCCGTCCAATGGGCAGGAGGTCCCTGGGGACGAGGGCAGGTGGGTTTTGCAGGGTGTGTTTTATACTGCTCGTAATCGAGTTCAGAGTTCCCACTAAGACGCAGTAAAGGGTGGGCTTAGGTTGAATTGTATTTCACGTCAAAACTAATATATTACAGCTAAGGTATGACCGTGAAATACTTCTGTACTGTGGCGAATCAAGCGTATGTGAAATCACGTTCAATAAGAAATGGAGCATTTCTACTAAAACCAGTGGAATTTTGAGAATGCTCAGTGGTTGTTTAGAGATTCCAGCGTCGAGATCAGGCCCTTGAACAAATACAGTAGTGCGAAGTGTTTGACTCCCTAAATACCTCGACACTTAAGAATATTGATTCCTAAATTCAGGGAACGGTATGAAGTATTTTGAAATCAAAAGCGCTTTGCGAACTAAAGTTGTTGTAATAGAATTGCATCTCTAGGAGATCTGAGAAAAGAACGTTTATTTTTGCTAATTCTTCTAATTCTCTTCATGTCAGTGCTATTTAGAAGCACTTCTAGAAGAGTGTTTGTTCAGTTCCTGGTAGGTAGTTGCAGAATGAAAAACTAAACCAACAAACTGAAACCTAGATTACTTTGCTACAGCTTCTGTGACCTGTGCTGAGTTTCTCTATTTTACCCCATTTACCAGCACTACTTGTTCTGATTTTTGTCAGTGGATCTTATTAATCATCACTGATTTTTAGTATGAACTCTGATCCCTAAGTTTTTGTCCCCGCTCTGCGGTTGGAGAAGTTCAGGTTGAGAGGGCTGTGAAGGCGTTGCATTCAGTTTTAGCCTTTGCACTCAGGTTGTTTTCTTCTTTTGTGTCAAGGGCAGCATTGCTTTAACACGAAGCATGACTAATAATGTGTCTTGCTTACGTGTATTTTGTTGCAGCGTGCGGTAAAGGGACCAGTTTGGGCTGTTGCTGAATCAATCCTACAGCTTCTTTTTAATGGCCAGGACTGGTGGGTTTTTTTGTGAAGTTTCACTACAGGTGTGCCACTAACAACCATCTGCCTTAATGCATTAACTGAACAGAACAAGAGCCTGGGTATATACGTTGTCTGCTTTGCTGCTGTATTCGGTAGAATTATTGTTCGCTGGTTCAATAACGCTTGGCATTTTTTTCCGTAGGCAATAAGTAATAAGGACCAACACAGCATATCTTACACTTTGTCTCGGGCCCAGACGGTGGTGGTTGAATATACACATGACAGCAACACAGATATGTTCCAGGTATGTGAAGTAAATACGATATATAAATGTATTCTCACTTTTGGTAGTTCCCAACAAGACATCCTCTCGACAGGCCTTTTCCCTCAGACCCAAAAGCTTGCGCATGTTGCTTTCTGTGCTTTACTATTCAGAGGCACTTCATTCTGTTCGTTCCCAGGGCTGTATATCTGTGCATCTCTGTTTAGGCTTGGTCAGAGGCGAAAGTTGTTTTTTTTGTGACTAATGCACAGGATTATGGCTTTGCCTTTGATTGCCAGCCTGCAAGTCACGTAACCTGTCTCCTGGTCCCTCCTTGCAAAATGAAGAATAAAGTGCACGGTTCTCTTTAAGCACTTGGAACTTTGCTTCTCGCATTTAGGAAGGGATTTGGGAGAGGCCAGTTGGGGACAGGGTGGAAGAAATACAGTGTGAAAATACAGGAGAGCTTTTGACACAACTAATAAGAAAAAGTACCCCTAAGTCCTTTAAGCAAACCCAGAAGTAAGTCTGTAACACTGGGAAACACGGAGAGAGGAGGCCCAATTCTGATGCGCTGGCAGTTCAGAGCAACTTTGCTGCAGTTCCTGTGTTTATGAGAAGCAGCCACAAACACATTTGCAGCTGTGGTCTGCTCTCGTATCTCATAATTGTTTCCTGTTATTTCTCAGAAGGCAGGGTTTTGTTTTAGGGCTGGGGTTTTTTTGTGTGTGCTTTGTTCCTTCTGATTCCTGGACTGATGTTGCGTTGATATTTTTTTTTTTTGTTGTTGTTGTCGCTAATTTATGGCGAGGAGTTTTGCTGTCACAGCACTTAGCTGTGACGCCACTGCAGGATCTGAGGAGGTGGGAGGTGTTGATAAGTGGTGGAGGAAGTGGCTGTGCAACTGCAAATACCTGCAACAGAGCAAAAGGGCTGTAACGAACTAACTGCAGCATAAGCTATTGTTTGTGTAAGTGTTCTCTCTTCAGGCGTGCTGTAGCACGTATGCTGCTGTAAAATTGCCACTGGCAACCCCGTGTACTGATGGGTTATCCCGCCTAAGAAGGAATAGTAAAATACATTCTGACAAAGCAGTTTCAGTCTCGCGAAAGCTCTCCATCCAGCCCTCACCAAAATACTCCTCAGGCTTTTGGGGCTCCTGCCCAGCAGTTAATCAGTCTTAATATAACCAGCTATTTTTATAAGAGGCTGTTGAGAGCTCTGGAAGTGAGTGAAAGCTATTAGTATGTAAGTGGGCTTTAAACCTGGCTACGTGGATGTTTGGGAGAGGGAGCGAGTCCAGAGGAAGCCACAAAGATGCTGGGAGGGCTGGAGCCCCTCTGCTGGGAGGACAGGCTGGGAGAGTTGGGGGGGTTCAGCCTGGAGAAGAGAAGGCTCCGGGGAGACCTTAGAGCCCCTTCCAGTGCCTAAAGGGGCTCCAGGAGAGCTGGGGAGGGACTCCTGATCAGGGAGGGGAGCCATAGGATGAGGGGGAACGGTTTTAAACTGAAAGAGGGGAGATTTAGATGAGATATTAGGAAGAAATTCCTTCCTGTGAGGGTGGTGAGTCCCTGGCGCATGTTGCCCTGAGCAGCTGTGGCTGCCCCATCCCTGGAGGTGTTCAAGGCCAGGTTGGACGGGGCTTGGAGCAACCTGGGCTGGTGGGAGAGGGTTAGAATGAGATGATCTTTAAGGTCCCTTCCAACTCTAACCATTCTGGGATTTTATGATGTAACTTCTTTTCATGCTTTTTAAGGAAAAGGACAAGATGAGTTGCCTGGAAAAGCAGTGAAACCCATGGAATTCTGCCAGTAGAATTGTGTGGGACTGCAAAACTCACTGTTCCACGCAACCAGAAAAGAAGGCACAGCTACTAGAAAAATCTGGTTGTAGTCAGACACTGTGTTCTGTGAATGTTAATGTAACCCCTCCCCGCCACAAACATCTTGTACCTGGTCTTTCCTGACAGATTTGCTGCTTCTCAGGGCCCCACTGGAGCCGGAGAGTCAGCTCCCATAATCTAATTTTCCTACATCTACACCTCGTCTGGCATCGTTCAGAATATTCTGGGCATGCAAAGTGACTGAATATCACTTTTCTCCCATCTAACTGCTGTTTTCTAGCTGGTTTGGCGCTGCTGCAGCTGGTCCGGCTGACCCGGGAGTAACCTTTCTGATGAGAAAGCCTTCAATGGGAAATTGTCTCAGAATTGACTTAATTACATCATTTGATTTCCCCTTCCTTCACTTGGCTGTACGCAGCCTTCAGAATAACTTTGATCACATTGAGGTGGAATAACTCATCAATTCAGATTAGGCTTTAGAAACCTAAATTTAGACTGGTGGAAGGGAATGCTTCAAACTGGGATGTCGTGATTTGTTTTTTTTTTCTTGATCGCTTTTAAATGTTTTGAGTTTGAATATTCCTAGACCCAAAGGCAAACCTCTAAACAGGTTTGTTTTCCAATCCCTTTCCAGATTGGTCGGTCAACGGAGAGTCCTATAGACTTTGTCGTGACGGATACGGTTCCTGGAAGTCAGAGTAATTCAGATACGCAGTCTGTGCAGAGCACTATATCAAGGTTTGCCTGCAGAATCATATGTGAACGCAACCCTCCTTTTACAGCCAGAATATACGCTGCGGGATTTGACTCCTCAAAAAACATCTTTCTTGGGGTAAGGGAATTCTTTAGTTTTTCCTCCGAGTTCAGTGCAGGCATGTTTTTAAACTAATTCATAGCTCCGCTTCAGCCAAATCAAGTTTTCATTGACGTAATTTCTCTTAGGAGAAAGCTGCAAAGTGGAAGACATCAGATGGGCAAATGGATGGACTAACGACAAACGGAGTTCTTGTAATGCATCCCCGTAATGGATTTACAGAGGACTCCAAGCCAGGGGTGTGGAGAGAGATATCCGTGTGTGGAAATGTGTTCAGCCTCCGTGAAACCAGATCAGCTCAGCAGAGGGGAAAAATGGTAAGAGTAGTGACCGATGATTTACGCAGCCTGTTGAAAATGGGTACAACCGTGAGTGGTTGGGCACAGAGGCTGGAGTCTGCCTCGTTCGGTGTAGAAGTCACCTCGGTAATTAGCTATGCCGACTTCTTATGTCTCTGTGTTCATACATTAAGGTGTCTTGCTCGACCTGAATAGCTGATAGAGTTTATCTGCCAACTAGGACTTAATTGCAGATCTAGACTGCTCTCCTAAATTTGAGTTGCCAGTCTGCTGTGTTCTTCTGCAAACCGTCATAGTCACGCGCACGTTTTATAGAGTACTTTCCTGATACGCTCCCTTGAGTTTATGCTTTCAAGGTTTTTCCGCTTTTCCTTTTCTATGGAGTAATTATACTTTTACTGAGACATGCCTATCTACCTGGATATCCATTTCCACCTTGGAATTCTGAGTTGTTTTCCTGTTGTTTCCAAAGCATTGGTGACATTTCCAGGAGGGGATTGGTTTTGGTGTAACTTGGGATCTCTGAGCAAAAATAGAGAGATGCTACGTGAACGCTTAGGTGATGCATTTAGTTAGGAATGCTGACAGCTGACTCCTTCTGGAGGGGGAGGAAAGCCACGTGTAAAGGTGTGTTTGAAGACAACAGTCTGAAATGTGATGGAAGACTAAACAAGACTTGTCAAGAAGGTTTTTCTTTTTTTAAAAAAAAAAAGAAAAAGAGAGAGAAGCTGACACTGGGCTCTCTAGGGCTGTCTTGTATAAAACAGTCAGGAACTGCTTGAAACTTTTTCTGGATCTTCTGGGCAGATTTGTGTTATGAAAGTGCATTCGGTTACTCTCCAGGTAACCTTAGGTGACAATCACAGAATGGTCAGGGTTGGAGGGGACCTCTGGAGGTCATCCAGTCCAGCCCCCCTGCCAGAGCAGGGTCACCTACAGCAGGCTGGACAGGCGAGTTTGGAATGTCTCCAGAGCGGGAGACTCCGCCACCTCTCTGGGCAGCCTGTGCCAGTGCTCTACCACCCTCGAAGGAAAGAAGTCCCTCATGTTCAGATGGAACTTCCTATGGTCAAGTTTCTTGAATGCGTTCAAGTTCTATTTCTCTTTGTCCGTCACCAGGTTGAGAACGAAACGAACCAGCTCCAAGACGGCTCTCTAATTGACCTGTGTGGAGCGACACTGCTGTGGCGCACTGCGGAAGGGCTTTCACGCACTCCTACTGTCAAGCACCTGGAGGCACTCAGACAGGAGATAAACGCGGCGAGGCCCCAGTGTCCGGTGGGGTTTAACACCTTGGCGTTTCCCAGCATGAAGAGGAAAGATGTGGTAGACGAAAAGCAGCCGTGGGTGTATCTGAACTGTGGCCACGTCCACGGCTATCACAACTGGGGAAACAAAGAGGAGAGAGACGGCAAGGATCGCGAGTGTCCCATGTGCCGCTCTGTCGGCCCCTATGTGCCTCTGTGGCTTGGATGCGAAGCGGGATTTTATGTGGATGCGGGACCTCCAACTCACGCCTTCAGCCCCTGCGGACACGTGTGCTCAGAAAAGACAACTGCGTATTGGTCCCAAATTCCTCTCCCTCACGGTACTCACACTTTTCACGCAGCCTGTCCCTTCTGTGCGCATCAGCTGGCTGGTGAGCAAGGCTACATCAGACTCATTTTCCAAGGACCTCTTGACTAACACATGTGTTACCGAGGACTGCAGGAAACTGATAAGCTAAGCGATTCCGATTTTTAAACCAACTGTTTTTCGTATTCTCTGGGCTTTGCTGGTTTGCATTAAGATGAAGAATTTTTGTTTGTTTGTTTTGTTGTTACAACAGCTAAATCTGTCTCTTATCAAGGAAAGTCTGGAAGAAACGGAGGGGCGGGAAGGAGAAGGGGGAGACCTCCTGCTTTTTTTTTTCTTCTTCTTTTTTTAGTTAATAACTACTTCTGAAGAGGTGAAGGAAGTGTTGTGGAGTGAACTTCGATGCCTTCCGTTCAATGGTTTTGAATCACGTGCCCACAGTGTTTGAAAGTTGCTTCATTCTTTTTGTATATGGAGGGTAAATAGTTCAAAGACCATTAGTTTACAGCTTGGATGCAAACGTTGTAAAATATAACGTGTATATTAACTCTTTTCTATTTATCTTTATTATTGAAAACCCGTAGAATGTTTAGAGAGTAGCATGGTCATAGTGTGTTACATCCAGCGATTGGATGCGTAGAGTAGTTCTGGATGGAGAAGGACGTGAGATGGAAACGGTAGAAAAATCTTTTTTAATCTAAAATGCTGAGTTCTTAGAATAGTTAAAATGCTTTTTAAACAAAGCTAATGCAAATTAGGATGGCAGAAAGGTGTGCTTTAACCGTGCTGAAAGGTAGCTAAGAAGGACTTCTTAAAATGGCTTTTTGGTAGGACTGTACTTAAGATCTGGTTATGAGGAGACTATTTACCAGACTCTTTGAATATGCAACTTAGTCTAGATTAAGGATTTTTTTTCTCCCTTCATGCTAACACATCTCTTTATTTAGCATTAGTGACATTCGTGAGGGTTTTTCCAGCGTTAAACATTAACAAACCCAAAAGACGAGGCTCGTTTCGTTCCTTGCTCTTTTGGGGGGCGGGGGGGGGGGGG